TCTTCTCGGCTTTCCGAATGCTCCAGACGGCCCAAGAGGCCCCCAAGATCGCCCAAGAGGCCCCCAAGAGGGCCCCAGGACGGCCCAAGTGGCCTCCAAGATGGCCCCAAGAGGGCCCAAGAGTGGCCTCCAAGACGGCCCCATGACGGCCAAGATGACCTTCAAGATGCCCACGTGTTCCCCGAAGGCTTTCCAAACTGATTCGGGGAACACATGGTCCGATAGCTTGGTAGGTCTGGCCTCAACGTTCGGCCACATAGGCGCTTCCACAAAGGCAGGGGGCGGCGGTGATTCGCCGTAGGCGTCTTCGATCCGCCGCCCCCTGTCGGTTCATCGCAGGGGTGACTGGCGTGCTGGACCTTTCAGTTTTGGTTTTGGCTCTTTTTCCGAAAGAACTTCCCCTGGCGCTTCGGCCCGTCCCGCCGGGATCCCGGGAGGATTACCCAGGACCGCAACGTCAACACAAAATAAATCCTCCAAGACGGCTCAAGATGGCGTCCAAGATGGCCAAGATGGCCCATGATGGAATCCAAGACGGCCCAAGATGGCCTCCAAGACGGCTAAGATGGCCCCAAGATGCCTCCAAGACGGCCCAAGATGTACCCAAGACGGTCTACGACGGCCCAACAGGCCCGCAAGAGGCCTCCAAGACGGCCCAAGAGCCCTCCAAGACGTCCTCCAGGAAGGCTCTCTTGGGCCTCCCTGAGGCCGTCGTGGGGGCCCCCTGGGCCGGCTTCGGGGCCTCTTGGGCCGTTTCGGGGGGTTCCGTGACCCCCTACAAGACGACCCTTTCGGGCAATCTTGGGCCCTCCTGGGTCTCTCTTGGGCCGTCTTGGGGCTCCTCGGGGGCACTGTGAAGACGAAGCAAGCGAGTATGCTGAAAATGAATGTTTTACTTACGGAACGGGCTGATTTTTGCCTCTTGAACGCCCTCTTGGGGCCCTCTTCGGCCATCTTCAAACCATCTCGGGCCATCTTGGGCCTCGCTCAGGCTGTCTTTTGGCCCTCTTGGGCGTCCTCGGAACCCGGAAATCATTTTCCCGGAGAGGCTTCCGGGAACATGATTTCGAACGAGGCCCTCTTGGGCTCTGTGGCCGTCTTGGGGGCCTCCTAGGCCGGCTTTGTTTCTTGGGCCGTTTCGGGGGGTTCCGTGAGCCCCACAGGACGACTTGTTTGGGCCATCTTGGGCCCTCTTGGGTCTCTCTTGGGCTGTCTTGGGGCTCCGCGGGGGCGTCTGGGGCATTGCGAAGACGAAACCAGCGAGCATGCTGAAAATGTACGTTTTACGTAGGGGATGTGCCGATGTTCGCCTCTTGAAGGCCTTCTTGGGGCCCTCGTCGGCCATCTTGAAGCCATCTCGGGCCCTCTTGGGGCGCTCTTGGGAGTCTTCGGGGCTTCTTGAAGTTTTCTTGACCATCTGTACGGCCCGCGTGGCCTGTCGTGGGTAACTTGGAAGCGGCCCGGGGCAGTCCTGGGGGGTCTGTGACCCCCCAAAATTTCCGGGGGGCGCCCATGGGGGATGATGGCACCGGCCCGGGCCCCCCGCCCGGCTCTTATATATATATATATATATATATGTGTGTGTGTGTAATGTTTGTACCTCTCTCTCTCTCTCTCCCTTGCATATCACATAGCACCCCCATGTTGCAGATCCCATCAACCACCTGCCATCTACAATCTTTCATATAATGATGTCAGCTTATGACTCACAAATCCGTGGGGGGCGCGTGTTTAACAAACGTGACGTCCTTACTCAAGCGAATCGCGGGGTGGCGCCCGCCAGATTGAACAACAACGGCGACGGCGCATGCGATTAGCGCCAGCGTCCGGCCGCCAGCGAAAAGGCGACAGAAACAACACATATTGGGAGAGGAAGGGGGGCGCAAACCAAGGGCGGCAGAAGCAGGGGCCGTGAGCCAAGGCGCCCCCGCACTTCCCGTGATTTTTTAAATCGGACCGATGCGGTCCCCTTGCTCTGGCCGCAACCATGGGAACGCGAGCTGCTTCGCGGGCCCGCGAGCAAGGCGGGTTGGACGAAAGGGGGGCGTGCCAAGCGGGGTTGTGCCCATCAGCGTTGATTTTCCAAGCGCCTCCTGGCGCCGAAAGCGGCCGTGCATCGAGGACTGGCCCTTCGGCGGGGCGACCGAAACCAGCTGCGCGCAGCAGGTTCCGCACCCCCCCCTTTCTTTCCCCATTTTTTCGTCCGACCCGAGCAAGGCGGGCAGTCCTCCTCCCCCCCTTTATCGCGGTCGTCGTCGCCACCGCCGCCGTCGCCGTCGTCGTCGTGGCCGTCGTCGTTGGCTCCTTTCCCCCCTCCTCCCCCTCCTCCCCCTCCCCCTCCCGCTTCCCCTCCTCCTCCTCTTCCTCCTCATCCTTTACCACCTCCTCCCCCCCCTGCTTCCTTCATGCCGTTTGCCAGCATCCGCGGCGCGGTGGTTTCCCGAGTTTTCCGAACCCTGGCGCGCGCGATCGAGAATAATGTCTTGCCCCGCAGGGAATATTCATCAGCCCCGGGCGGGACATCATTGGTTGATCACGGGTTGCCATTAAGGCACGCATCGCATCTGATATATCATAACACATCGAATGTCTCGCCTGTCACCTATTAGGTGCCATCTCGTCTCTCGTATATCACATGTAGTCTCGCTCTCTCTCTCTCTCTGACTCCCTCTCTCTCTGTCTGTCTCTCTCTCTCTCCCTCACTTTTGCTCTCTCTCTCTCTGTCTCTCTACCTCTCCCTCTCGCTCTCGTTCTCGTTATTGCGCTCGCTCTCGATCTCGCTCTCGTTCCCTCTCTTTCTCTTTCCCTCTTTCTCTCTCGCTCTCACTCACTCTCTCTGTCCCTCTCTCTTTCTCTCCCTCCATCTTTTTTCCTCTATACTGTATGAACCGGAGCATTTTCGCAGGGTGGAGGGAACAGGGTGAAATCCATATGGGCTTTTGCACCTCGAGAATCAATCCGCCTTGTGATTCACCTTTTGCGGATTCTTTCGAGCATTGATCGAAACGGCATTTCAGATTTCACCCTTTGCCCTCCACCCAAAGAAACTGCTCGGTGAACACTCCCTCATTCTCCGGAGCGAGCGGCGGTCCAAACATTCGTCAGGCAACGAGCGACTAAGTGGCCGGAGCATGCAGCGGAACGCCAGCTGCACCACGCCGGCGGGCGAGAATTAGCTCGCCCGCCTCTGAGCGGTGCGGAAGGAGGGCTGCGCCTTCCTCCCCTTGCGCGTCGCACAACGAATACTCCTTCTTTGGAGCGAAGTCAGGCTGCTCGAGATTAAAAAAGAGGTTCCAGGGCTCCACAATATTAAAATCCTTCTTTGGTGCTTGCAGAGGTTTCGCGGCGCCTGGCGAGAAATTGATCCAGAATCGCAGTTCACTGTGAACGCGCATGATGGGCTTCCCCGAGGCCGCGATCCCTTTTCAAAAACTCGAGGATCCTCGCCCCCGACGCTCCCAGGTGCCCCCTGCACCCCCAGACGCTCCAGGTGCACCCAAGCGCTCCCAAGCAGCCTCAGGCGCTCCCCAAGCGGCCCCAGGCGCTCCCAAACGCCTGAGATGCTCGCAGGCGCGCCCAGACGTTCCAGGAGCGCCGAAGCGCTCCTCGGCGGCCCCAGGCGCTTCCCAGGCGGCCCCGGGCGCTCCCAAGATTTCCCAGACGTTCCCAGGTGCTCCCAAGCGCTCCCCAGGCGCTCCCAAACGTTCTCACGCGCTCGCAAGGCGCTCCAAGACGCTCCAGGAGCGCCCAAGCGCTTCCAGGCGCTCCCAGGCGCTCCCCAAGCGCTCCTCAAACGCTCCCAAGCGCGCTCCCAGACGCTCCCAGGCGTTCCAGGAACGCCGAACAATAAAAACATGTTCCGAGGCGTATCTTCGTACGAACGCAACGTACGACAGAACGCATCGCCAGATCTTCACAATTAAGGCTGCCCTCATCTCCGCCGTGCCTCCCAGGAGCCCACGAAAGTGGCGACAATTGCGCAGTTCGCAACCACCCATAAAACGGCGAAGTCTCGGGCACTCCCCCACTCCGCTTTTCCTCACAGGAGCCCACGACAAATGTCGACATTTGCACAATTCGCAGCCACCCCGGGAGCCGCGAGGCCTCGGCTGGATGCGCATATTCCCCTACTCCGCCGCGCTTCCCAGGAACATGCGAAAGTGGCGACTATTGCACAGTTCGCAGCCACCCAGGGGCAGCGCAAGAGGAGGCAGGAGGGGGGAAGAGGAGAAGGAAACGCGACCGCAGCGCTCGATTCAAACTGAAAACCCAACACAGGAGGACTGGGGAAACAAACAGCATAACCACAACTCTTCTTCAGTACATAAACACTTCTCGTGGCAACTATCAACCCCATATGTTGCATCCTCGAGCGCGGGGGGGGGAGTCAGTGCAACTAGCGTGTGTGTCGTTCCAGATTCACTGCGTGGGCTTGCGCCCACATGCGGCTGCGCGCTTTCGTAAGGAGGCGCCTTCGTGATTCCAAGATCGCTGACCTTCGCAACGAACTGAGTAACGTCGAACGACCAGTCCTGGGAGTTACGGCGCACGTCCACGACCGTATCGCCACCGAGTTTAAACATAAGTCATTGCCCCGATTCAGCGCGTTTTCAAAATCACCCGCTGCATTTTGCGAACAGAAAGCGGATTGCGAAGGGCAGGATGAGGGAGGAATGGCCCATTGGCTCGGACGGATCCCTCATGGTCACACGTAATGTTTGCTCTTGGGCATAGTTGCTCTGCCACACGGCTCGGCTGCGTACACGCGGCCCTGAAAGTACATTATTTTCCGGGAAATCAATATCCAAAACGTGTATGCAATGTTTTCGCATGGCCCGTTGGAATTTCGACCAACATGTGGGTCTCGTGTCGCGAAAAATGAATGTGTCTGGGTGGGGAAAATTGTATGCTGGACTCTGTTGTGATAGCTATGTGTTATCGCGCAACATATACGTTTGGCAAACAGATTTCGAGGGAATCCGTGTCTACTCAAAACGTATGAGCACACTGCACCTCTGGACATCGACGGCCCAATTCGATCGGCTGCATGACAACGTGCGATCGGCGATAGAAGCGCTCCACCGACGAAATTGAACAGCGCCGTGCCGAGGGTTGGGCTCTTGGCAAGCAAAGAACAGCCAAGTTGCGCATGCCATTCGAAAGGCCGCTCGGGGAGGCACCCGTTAGCGGGCAGTGAGCACAAGGATCCCAGAAACCTCGCGCTCCTTATCCCCTGTTCCTCGCCACGACCATCCTTCTCCTCTTCCTCCCCCCCTCATGTTCTCTTCTCCCCCCTTCATGTTCTCTAAGCGTTGCCCCCGATGTGTCGGATCGCGTTCCTCCTCCTCCTCTTCATCTTCCTCTTCCCCCACCCTTCGGTTGCGATTTTGGGCTCAAGCCACATCTTGGCCGAATCGGCTACATGTGTTTCCATGGGGAACGCCGCGCCCATTTCCCCTTGAAGTGTCGCGCCAACTCCTGGACCATTCCCGCGAGCCGGCATCCGGGCAGCAGCGGCACGCGTGGACAAAAGGGCGAGCCAGAGTTATGTCGTATGGTTATGCTGTTGTTTCTCCAAGCACTCCCCAGGCGGCCCCAGGAACCGCAAGAGGCTTCAGGAAGTTCCAAGAGGCCGCAGGAATCTCACGGGAAGCTCCAGGAAACTTCAGGGAACGCCAGGAAGCTACAGGTTGCTCCAGGAGCTTCCAGGAAGCCTCGAGAGGCCTCAGGAAACCGGAGGAAACACACAGCCCAGGTAGCCTCAGGCACAGCCCAGGTAGCCTCAGGCAGCCCCAGGAGGCCCCAGGAAACCACAGGAAACTTCAGGATACTTCACGAGGGCCCAGGAGGTTCCAGAAAACCCTAGGGGAACCGCTGGGACCTCCACGAAACAACAGAAAGCTCCCAAGGGCAAGTTGGCGCGGCCTGACGGACCCCGGGGAAGCCCCTCCACCTTTCACGCAGGCCCCCCCCCGCCCAGCCCCGCGCGGTGGTCGCGTAGCGATACGCCCGCATGTGCGGCGCGTTTGGAGCGCATCCGCGGAGGCATCCGTGCGGTCACAGGAACACCCAAAGACTTCCAGGAGGCTTCAAGGGGCCCAAGAAAACGCCAGGAGACGCCAGGACGCACTCAAGACACATCCAGCAATCCCAAAGAAACGCCCAAGGAACCGCAGGAAACCCCGGGAAGCCTTAGGTCGGGCATGCCCCCCTACAGGCGGATGCTGGCGGAAACAACGAAACAAACATACCACACATTAGCAACACCATACATTCAAGCATCGTCCTCATAACTTCTATATCTAAACTATTGTTGAATCTTCCTCCTGTAGAGGGACACGCCTGACTTGAGGGAAGCCCCGGGAGACCCCAGGAAACCACAGGAAGCTCCTGGGAACCCCAGGATGTCCCAGGAATTCCAGGGGCCGCAGGGCGGCCTTGGAAATCACCCAGGAACCCCCAATTGACGAGGCCTGGCGGACACCGAGAAAGCCGTTCAAATTCTTGTCATGCAGACCCCCCCCCGCCCACCAACCCTCCGCGCGGTGGTTGCGTAGCGATACGCCCGCATGCGCAACGCTTTTGCGGCGCATTCGCAGAGACATCCGCGCGCGCGTGTCCCAACGCGGCGCCATCAATTTCGCAAGCAGAGGCCACGGCGCCGAAACGTCATTCCGAGATCGCCGCCCGTGCGAGCTCGAGCGCTGCCAACTCGCGCAAACAAGCTGCCGGGCGCCGCGCGCCGACCCCCGCGCGAGAGCCCGCGCTCCGCCGATGCGGCGCGCGAGTCCTCTCCTGCGCGCGCGAGCGCTACCGGCGCCACGGGCCGACCCCCGCGAGGAACAGGAAACCCGACTCGCCCGACACGGCGCGCCACTCATCCCACGCGCGCGCGAGCGCCGCCTGGTCGCGCGAGGATTCTGGCTGGCGCCGCGCGCCGCCCTCCAACGCTAAACTCGCAAGTCGTTGCCGAAGTGGCGCAGCTGCGCCACCGCGCAGGACGTGAGGCGCGCGCCGCACATTCATTCACGCACCGCCCACAGAACACTTCCAACAGGTGGGGGTGTTGGAAGCGAGGAGGGCGCTCACTCTCGGGCGCAACCGAGATAGGGTGGGGGGTGGAACGCGAGCATCGCGAGCGGGCACTAACGCATCCCACCCTCAACAATCCTGTTGGGGGGGTGAGATGCGTGCGCGCACGTCTCGTGAGCACTTCCTTTCTTTATGTCTCTGTCTCTCTCTAAATGTATATCACAGTATCTCTCCCTCTCTCATTTATCTCACTCTTTTTTTTCTCTCTCTCTCTCTCTCCCTCTCTCTCTATCTCTCTCCCTCCCTCCCTCCCTCCCTCCCTTTTATTTCTCTCTCGTTGTTGTGTTCTCTATATATCAAGTGTATATGTATCCCTCGATGTATGCGAATAGATATGATTAGATATCTCGGTCTCCCTGTTTCCCTATGTATATGTTGTTTGTTCTCTCTCTCTCTCTATTTCTTTATTTCTCTCTCTCTCTCTTTCTCTCTTTATCCGCCGAATTTCCTCAAAAGTTACCCCAATGGCTTCAACAGCGACCGCGGGAACGCTGTTCCACAGCTTGGCCGGACTTTGGCCCATCGTTTTGCCGCATTTCATGGGCACGTCGGAAATGAATGCGGGCGGCTTGGTTCGCTGTAGGCGTCGTCGATAGGTCCGTGTAAACTATTTGATATGCGGGGCAAGAACGAACCTCTTCCGCTAAAAGCTAGGCGGGCTACGCACAGCTTTAATTAGGGAGACAGGGCGCAGGCAGGCGGGGCTCCAGGCTGCCAGAGTGGGCGGAGCCCAGAGGTGCAGGCGGCGCCGAAGTGGATGTGCAGGAGCAAGTGCGCCGCGGACTGGTGCCAGGGGCGAAGACCCGGAGGGTGGAGGAGAAGGTGTTGCCGTCGACGGCGCATCGCGAACACCGGCCTCGAGCGCGGCAGAGGGGGGCGTGCCGCTTGACCGGGTCGACGCCCAAGAGGAAGAGAAGCACCGCGAAGGCGATGTGCAACGTTGTGCCACCGGGTGGTGCGGAAGAGGCCCGGGGTGGCAGTCCAATCCACGACCAGGTAGTAGCTTGCTTGAGGAGCGGCCTCAGGCGAGGGGGCCGTTCATGACCGACAGGATGTCGGTGGGCTCCAGGGCGAAAGCCCGCCCTGCACCGCCAGCGCGTGAAGACGGGCAGCAGCCGCGCACGACGCGCTGACATCCGCACTGTCGAGGGCCAGGCCGCCGGGCCTGAGCCGCGCAGCGCCGTGGCGAGCGGGGCCGCCGAGGCGGCAGGGCGCCGCGCCCGGCACCGGGCCGAAGCCGCGCAGCGCCGAGCGCCGCCGCCATGGGAGGGGGGAAAGCGAGCGGGGGGGGGAAGAAGCGAACAGAGAGGAGAAAGGCCGGCGCCCGCCGCCAGCCGTCGACGTGCCAGCCCGCGCCGCAGGTGCTCACGCGGGGGGGGCTGGGCCTCCATGGGTACAGGTAGGACACGCGGTCCCAGCACGCGTTAAAGACAGGTGCGGGGGGGGAGCAGGCAACGCAGTCGGGGGCCAGGTGGGCCAGCAAGCGGGCGCTGCGAGTGGACCGCGTGCGCCAGGCTGCGCGCGCCTGCACCGCGCGCGCGACGGGGGCGCGCGCGGGCAGCCAGGCTCCAGCATCAGCCTTTCCAGTCAAGGCCGCGGGGGAACAGGTAGGGGGGGACAGGAGGACACACGGTCCCAAGCCAGGTGATGAGGGAGGGGGGAAGGGGAACAGGTGGTGGGCGTTGCCAGCTGTGGGCGGGGTCAGGACCTTGCCGCAAGTTGGGGGCGGAAGGCGGTCGCGGCGCGCTGTGTCAGACAGGGGGGGGGCCCGGTTGCAGGCTGGTCAGCGCCTGGGGCGCTTTCCGGTTCAATTGTCGCTGTGCTCGGAGCTGCGTGCCTGGTCCTCCCCGCGCCCTTCACCTTTGGCAACCTCTCTTTTCTACTGGGCGTCCTGGTACAGGGCCCTCTCCCGGCCCCAGTCCACGTAGACGCCGGCGTTGCGAGGCCGCGTCTCCACGCGATGGTTGCAGCTGCCCATGTCTTCCAGAAGATTGTCGATTACCCATTGATGCCGGCAGTTCGGGTCGAAGCGACCTGGTCTTTGGATTTGCCTCTGCCCTGCTCCTTACGCATATGCCTGCACCGCGAGTGCCAAGCTGCGGCGAAGTGGTGTCCTCCGTCGGCCTGCAGCCTCTTCAGGTGTGTGACTGCTGTCTCGTGTGAGCGGCGCTGCCAGCTGACGCGGGAGATTGTCCGCGGGCGGCTGAAATCTGCGTGGGCCTTCTGGCTGGCACCAGGGGGTTCGCCCTGCGCCCCTGCCGCTGTCGCGGTCCTGATCCCAGTGGTGCCCCCTGGTTCTGTCCCAAGCGTTGGTGTCTTGCTTGCGCCGCGGTGCCCCCGCTACGCCTTTGTCGCGGTCGCCGGTCGCGGTCGCGCTCTCCAGCACGGGCCCAGTCGCTGGTTTCTCTGGACGCGCGCCTCGCCGCAGTCTCGCATGGCCCCCGGGGAACTGAGCCCCGCGCCCTGCCGCGCAAGCGCTCTAGCTCATGCGCAGGGAGGGGGTTGAGCACGGGGCGCCTGTCTTCCGGGCGTTTGGATCTGGGCCGCGTGCGCAGCGCCCGGTTGTCGGCAACGGCCGTCAAAAACACGGTCGGTTTCGTGGGTGCGCTGGCTGGCTGGGTCTGGTAGGTACTGCTTGAGTCGCGCTCGGGACTGCTGCGTCGTTCGAAACGAGGGCTCAACTTGGCTTGGCCCTCCTCGACTGTGTCGGGGTCTGAGGATGGGGGGGCCGTGCGGACCGTGCTCAGGGCCTCCGCGAGCCTCGGCTTCCTCTCTTGCTCCTGGTCGCGCATGGTACAATGGGGTTATCTCCTTACGGTCCACGAGGGGTGCAGGTTCGTAGGTGGGGTCTGGTGCGTCCGTTCGCGGCGCGCAAGGTTCGGGCTCGGAGTCGGGCTGAGTCCCTTCAGGGGGCGTCGCTCTGGCGTCCCCTGATGTCGACGCCGAGCCAGGGGCTGGCGGGGGCCGCTGGCGCCTGCGCCCCGCGCGCCTCGTCGGAGGTCCTGCCCAGGAAGGTTGCTGCCCGGAGCGCTGCGTCGCCGCGGAGGACGTTCGCGCGCAGCCTCCTGGCAATGGCGCCCCTGACCCCCAGCCACTCGCTGCCGATCTGGACGATAGGGGCCCGCCCGTCCTGTTCGCGGG